GTAGAATTTTTTTTCTTTTCGATATCATTTTTCAATCGAGAGTTATTCAATATTGAACATTGTTATCAATTTTCATGAAAATTGATAATTTTCTCGCGAGTTGATTACTCTCATTTAATCATTGCTAATTAGTTATTAATTATCAGTAACTCCCATCAGTTCTTCCATTTCCTAAAACAATTCCCAAGCTGATGAAGACGTACATTCGACTGAAACCGAGATGAAAACGATAATCGATAGCCTCGAATGTTTAAGTTACTTCAATAATTCCAATAATTCCAATAATTCCAATCGATTCGAGCAATTGGCAATTGAGTATGACACTTCTATTGCAGGACAAATAGGATTTGTTGGGTGAAGTACTTGCGCCGAATGTTATTTTATTTGAGTAGTCAATCGGTTGTCAAATTGAGCGGAAAACAAAAGTGGAGTTGACATCGTGATTTCGTGGTCCATTGAAGCTGGAAATTGACGAGAAAGAGATTGAGGGATTATTTAATAGTTTGAAGGAGATGATGCTCCCCGATGGTAGGACAAAATGACTGCTCTTGCGTAACCGCAATCATTGTCACGTACGAGGTAATACGTACAATACAAGTACATGATTGTGTTGATTGTTGCCCGGAAGGAGATGAACGCGCAGTTGTCGAGATAAATCTCGATCGACATTTCTTCTAAAATATCCCCATAAAATTGTGAATAAAAAAAATAATCATGATCCAAAAATGTACCTTTTTCGAACTTCAATCGTAGGCGGTGGGAAAAGTCCAATAAAAATTGACCGACAAATAATTTATGAATGATTTATGAAATGCTACGTAAAAATTCTTGACAATTACAAATTATTTATTGGATTTACCCGAAAAAATATATCATGTTCGAATTTTATTGTTGTTTAATTAATGATGAAGCTCATGAGCGTGCGATAATTTTCCGGTGGATTTTCTATTATTATTTATTATTTTATATTATCATTTATTATATTTTTTTTTGTTTTTTAAAAATTCAGGAAAACGCGGGATTATTGCAAAAACATAAAAAATTGTTAAGAATGGATGAATTATTCATGTACTCCCGTCATCCACTACTTGAATCAAGTACTTCAATTACAATTAATTGATCTCCATTAAAAATCGAAATTATCCCACGAACGGATCGGGAGTTGGTGATATAATAATAAATAATATTTATAATCCAATAATTTCTAATATTTCATATAGTTTTTAAAAATATCCAGTGCGCACTGAATACAATTATAAAATTCGCAAGAACAATTAGATTTTCACGTCAACAAATATTTCGATCAATCGATTTTGTGAGTGCACGGAGGTGTTTCGATAATCTAAACCATCTTTATGAAACCAACAGACCCGGTCTGCTAATTTTATAGAACAACTCACACACCAGAATAAATACCAATACAAGAATAAATATCGCACAAGTTGAGTTTCACTCAGCGATTTACGATGCACTCAGGCAAACATTTGCCCAGTTTTTGGAGAACTGGTGTGCCTCGCAAAAGCAAACTCATCCCCATTCAATCCGGAAATGTATTCCAGAGTTATTCTCTCATACCGACGAGAACCTGAGTAAACAAACGAGGAGAATATAAATGACGAGTTTCAACGGCCATTCTCGTAATTAAGGACAGAAAAAAAAAAAAATCAAGACTGCGGAAAAAAACTAGCTTTGTCTAGAGAGAGCCAGTTCCCCTCTAATAAATTACGGATGCCAGTTCCACGCTTCGCTGGAACACAATATCTTTGCGTATTATTATTGTGTAATCATTTCTGACATGATGGAGACACGAACGTCAGTCTTCGCGTCAAGCCCAGCTTTGGGCTTATTTTTTTTTCTACTCCCTCTGATGGTAATCAATGAATGGGAAATGGACTTTCCTAGAGTGACTCATCCACTGAGGGTTCTGAAAATTTGTTGGCGAATTTCCTTAACAGACTTTCCTACGTCAACAATGGACAGCGAGAATGGTAATCAGTTGAGGGGTGATAACGGGAAATAAGCTCAATTCACTTCGGAGAGTTTTTCTCAAATATCTCTGAATCTGGTGGAAATAGGAAAATTTTTGTAATTGAATTTTTTGCTGCTCTTGATTAGTTGCGCGAAAATGGTCTTTACGGAAATTTTGATATCTCTCTTAGATTCTGAGATATTTCTTGAAAACTTAAGTATTCGCTGGAGTGACTTGGTTTACTTCGTTTGCTTCGTCGCTTTGAGTTTTCCTGAAATAACTCCTTCCTCGAGATAGATAGCGAAATTTTTGTAATGACAATTTTTGTAGTTCTCAATCATCCCTAGAAAAAAGATTCACACCAAAATTTCGCTATCTCACTTAGATACGGATATAACCCCTAAAAACTAAAATCAAAAACTATAAAACTTCTTTTTTTGCTTCGACCTATCGCGGAATATCTCTGTACGCGAGGTAGATATCAAAATTTTCATCAGAACCTTTTTTATAGTTTTCAATTATCTCTAGAAAAATGATTTTGACAAAAATTCGGCCATCTCCGATAGTATCGTAGATATTTCGAAAAAACTTGTGTAAGGGCAGCTTTTTGGGGATGCTCCAGTGAAATACTGACGTTTAGAGTCTAGACAATGAGAGAACTTACGGAACAGCAACGTAAAGTAATCTCGGATGTGTTTTAGCTCTAGTAAGTGTCGATACACAACCACTGTGTCTCCTAAAAGATGTCAAAGGAAGTGTTATCCTGACAGCACCAGAATCTCTATGAGAAACACGAGAGTGGGTTTCCGTTGGTACCAGAACTGCGTACTCGTTCATTATTCAATAAATTCATGATCTCCGAATGAACTCGATACTAAAAATCAATTGACATGAACGACGAATGCACTGACGCGCCATCAGATACCACAACACCGCAGAATAATAAATCAGCTATGACGTTTGGCTTGTAGTGGCTGTTTCACATATGTCATTAAAAATTTAAATTATTCTCACTACGCAACAGCTATTGTCATTACTGGTGTACGCCAAAGTTGTGAATTAGTCGCGTGCCGACGTGATACTGCACGCGTAGTTCATTTATGAGTTGTACTGAGGTACTAGTATGTACTGGTGAGGTTTTCAAACGTCAAAAGCCAACAGACGAGTGTGTACGTATCAAATATCCAACGACTCCCTCCAGTTACTTATTTTAATCAGATTTTACATTTTACACTGATGACATATGTCTCGCCACACCACGCAATTTTCTCGTGATTTTCAAAAATTTTGAGTTTTTTTTTTGCAGTGATTATCCCATTATTATTGGATTATTATTAATTGTTTATTGTTATCATTTATTAATCCCATTGCGTCGGAAGGATAGATGACAGGGAAAGATATTATATTTGATTATGTTACGATTTTAATTCCAGTTAAAGTTTTTTTTTTAACGAGGTTTGATTTTTTGGAATTATTGGGACAGTCTCTGGGGGAAAGATGTACGGAAAAAAAAAATTGAAGTGAGTGGACGTATCTATTTGAGTGCATTCCATTCGCAAAGGGATATCAATTGAAAGTTTATGTTGTTAGGGGATTGTTAATTATTTACAGAATTTTTGGGATTTTTGGGACTCAATTGAGGATTTTCCGGAATTTTTTTAGGTTTTTTTGAGGATTTTTTAACATTCGAGGCGATTTTCAAATAACAATTGCTGATGAAACTATTTATTTCTAGGATTTCCGAAAATACCAAATTACCGATTTTTTTGGAATTCCCCGGGAGTTTTTGAGGAATTCCGTCCAGATTCCCAGAATTTTTTTAAAAATACAAACGAAATATTTTATTCATTCCGAAAATACGGAAAACTTATTTTCATCAGAAATGTTCAGTCTCTCTTTTTTTTTTAACAGGGAATCCCCTCGAGCTTTGGAGGAAAAATTCCTCGTCTAAATAATCTCTATAAAATTATTGATTTCAGGAAATAGGAAATTGCGGTTTTTATCAGAATAAAGTTGCAAAAACTCCCGGCAGTTTCGGGAAAACCCGGCACTTGAATGATATGAAATTCGACCGATCAAATAAAAAACATTCCGCCGATTTCTCCCGAAAATTACGACTTTAAAAAATTTTGCAACCAATTATTGATCGAATAGACCTGAAAAAAAAATTTTCAATTTCAGTGAATACCTCCTCAATTGTCATGCTCCCCTGATACATTTTCAAAAATTTTGAATTTTCAAATTTCCGTGAATACCTCCTCGATTTTCATGCTCCCTTGATAATTTTTTGGAATTTTCGAATTTTTCAATTTCAGTGAATACCTCCTCGATTTTTTTTTGGAATTTGGAATTTTCAAATTTCAGCGAATACCTCCTCGATTTTCATGTTCTCCTGATACTTTTTCAAAAATTTAGAATTTTCAAATTTCAGTGAATACCTCCTCAATTGTCATGCTCCCCTGATACTTTTCCAAAAATTTCGAATTTTCAAATTTCAGTGAATACCTCCTCGATTTATGAATTAAATTTAATTGAAGAAAAAAAAAATACGTCGCAAAAATGATCATCGAATCCCGAATTAAAACTCGCGAAACCCCAAATAAATCCAATTGAAGCCGATAAAACAGAGAATACCAACAACAGCTGATACCAGACTCTTTATCAGCTCGTCGAAAATTTTTAATTCCCCTATCAGGTATTTACAGAAGATAGTGGATATCTGAAGAGCATCGTGATTGAATCCGGGAGTCTATAACAAAATCCACAACTAGCCCCAAGAATCCGATAACTGAGAGATGATGAAGCACCGACTGTTCAGCCCCACCAGAGCAATCATCCCCCAGAAAAAATACTAGCCGTCGATAAGGCAGAAGTTCATCAAAACAAACGTCAGAGACCTGCAATCAATAATTATCCACCCCAGCGATTGATAAAAAAAAATCCAAATAATCCACACCCATAACAGAAGTTAAAGGACAATCATGATTTCAGGTTCCATTGTCTCACTGATAAACCCTAGACAATAGACGGACTACCTCTGCCAGTTTCCTATTACAGTTGGACAATAGATATAAATTAGTAACAATGAAATGTCCGATTGTTCTCCGGGGAGTTGAGACCACAAGTGAAATTATTGTCGTAGTTGAACGCATCCAACTTGTTGTAATTACATGAGTTACCTCAGGTGATGGTATCCAAGACCCGAAAATAACGTCAGCCTCAGGAATTCTATGTGTAGACAAGTGTTTCTGTTCGCAGCCTGTGGGTAGCCGTTGCTCAGTCAACCGATTTCTTCTCCATTCTCGAAAAACACGAGAGACGAGCGAGAAATCGCTCAAGGTGATGAGATGAGAGACAGGGTGTTATTTTCTGCGTTACGAAATTGGTATTTACTGAAATTGAAAATTTTATGGAGTCACTTAAATTTTTTGCTCCCATGTAACCATGTAAAAAAATTGAAGTGACTCCATAAATTTTTAAAATTTCAATGAATACTAATTTCGATTATACTGAAGTCAGCATAAGTTTTAACATTGATTTTAGGAGTGGGGGACATGGTGACAAGTGGTAACTACGTGGAGTGGGGGTATCCAGAGAAGTAGAAACTTATGCTGACTTTGGTATAGTCCCTTTGACAGCGAGACTGGTACTGAGGCAGTTACCGAGTCGGCTGACGGGTAAACACCCCACCATTGGGTGCGACCCCCTCTTTTTCTTGGGGTCAGGTACTACAATACGGGTGGGGTCACTCAAACCCCCGCTGAGTGGCTCAGTTCTGGGGTGGTAACTGACCCCAAGAGAAAGAGGGGGCCGTACTCAATGGTGGGGTGTCTGCCCGTCAGCCGACTCGGTAACTGCCTCAGTAGCAGTCCCACTGTCAGAGAGACCAGTCGATTGGATAAATTTTATTTTCTGAAAATTTTAAATTTTTCAATTTAAGTCAATACCTCCTCGATTTTCATG